ATGGCAATACATATTAAAGAACTTAAAATTGCATACAGTCTTTGATTAATAATTCTGCTACTGGGACTTTTCTCTGGAGGAAGTATTAATAGATACACAAAGATCATTCTGCAAGGATTTCCATAGTAATGAAAAGTTAGAAACAACCTAAATATTTAACAATTCGAGATTGGTTAAATAAATTACAGTAAATCTCTCTGAGAGAATATTATCGCGCCATTAAAATGAGGTAGAAGAGAAATATTTCTAATGTTTTCTGCATCTGTGATATTCACATGTGCTCTATACTCTTATCAGTGACTTCCCTTAATACCTACAGAAAGAGAGAAGATAGATATGTTCATTTTTCAGAGAATGAAAAGGCTATACATCTACCAGATGTTGAAGAACGTAGTCCAGGGGCCAGAATGATCAAGTGGTATGGAAGAGTCAAGAGGGCTTGCTGAATTACTCAGCAGCAAGATCCTTTTTCTCGAGCTTGAGTAAAATGGTGTCACTGGTGTCCCACTGGAGGAATTAAGGTATTATTGGGCACACAGTGTGGAGGCAAAGTGGGAATTACCTGTTTTTGTTCAGATGTTTGGCTTTAAAAAGGACAGGTGAGACTCTACCTCTGCAGGGCAGAGAGGATATTTTTTTTTTAAAGGAATAAGGGAAGTTGAGCATGTTTAAAAGGCATAATACTGAGTAGTTTATACTCATGTTCACATTTAATCCCTAAAAAACTCCATGATGGAGCTACTTCTTGTCTTATTTTTGAGATGAAGTCACTGATGCTTGCACAGTTTATTTGCCCAGTGTCACAGAGCTAGCAAATCATAGAACCAAGATTTGAATTTTGACTCCTAATCTAACAGTTACGCCCAGGAATAAATGGAAAAACCAAAACTGCAAGAGCTAAAGGGATAATGTGGTAAACTAAAATCTGAGAGGAGATTGTCCCGTGAAGGTGATGAGAAGTTATAGCCTCAATTTAGAAATTCCATAGATGAGGAACCATGTCTGACTTATACTGTGCCGCATGTTGCAGTCATGGTTGGTGCAGCTGATACAACTAAGGCAGGAATAGTTTCTGTTTGTTGTATTCGACAGAACTGCCCTCTGGTGGGGCTGGTTCATTCCCAGTTCTCTGAAAACATCCCCTTCTTGTCATCTAGTAATCCAGAGTCGAGGGTGTCTGGAAATCACTTCATGCTCAGGATGCTCTGAGGTATTTGGTGCTAGTACACTCCAGAATTAAACTGTATCTCACCTTCATCATATTCCTAATACCTATTAGTAAAAGTTCATGGAATATTTCCAGGTGCTCAGGAAAGGGGAGCCTAGTTGCTACACTGTAGTAATTTTCATTCCTAAGTCCATTCCCACTTAACAGGCAGCCACTGATCCACCATCCATTCCATTCATTCATTCATTCATTCATTATTTCATATATAGTTAATCTGTTATAGGCCTGTTCTAAGTGACAAGGATATCAAGATTAAAAGACAAACATCTCAAGGTACGGGGATGGTAATTGAAGAAGAGGCAGGGCTGGTGAAAGGATTTAATATTCTTAAAGATGGGAAAAATTTGAGATGTTTGTCAGCTGAATAAAAGCAATGAAGAGAAGGTATTGCGAAAGCAAGCTCAAGAAGAGGTAGGAAAAGGTGGAATTTTTTGACATCAAGAAGAGAAATGACGTCCAGCTATTCATAGGTAGAAACAAAGACACTTGCAGGAGTTCACAGTGAGTGGCTGCCATTTTCTCTGTGAGAAGGGACACAATGTCACTTTCTGGAAGTTAGTGTGGAGTTTGAGGGGCACCTTGAAGTTTGGAACAGCTCCCTAGTGAATGAGTAGGGGCCAGGAAGGAGATGGCCGCATATCATGGTGGGCCAAATGGTAATAGGAACTGGGAATTTCTAATAAGGCCAATTAATGTAGTTTTTTGATTTTTTTTTTTACATACCCCTTGAGCCACTGGAGAAGCCCCTCTGACTGGTTTTTCTACCTTTAGAAGGACATTTGTCCATAAAAGCTAAAATCCTTGGGTTTGAGCCTTTACATCCTAATTGAAATTATTCTTGACTGACATAGAAGATACAGAAGACAGTCATGGCTCCTGCTTAAGACCTGCTAGTGAGGCAATCCGGGTTGCCCCTTGGACGGCCTCGGGTGAATCATCTCCCCTGAAGGAGAGGAAGTCAGAGTGTCCAGTCTACTCAGAACTTCTGCTCCTTCCACTGTGCAGTGATACAGGTTTTAGGATAAGTTTTCCCCAGTTCATGGCTACTCTGTCAGGATTCTTGCTGACAAACAACAGAAATGAGCTCTAATTTAATTAGCAGACAAGTTTATCAGAAGACTGTTAGGGAGCTCACAGGTTTTTTTCTGAAGGATTGGGCAAACAAGCCTGGAGACTAGGCAGCCAGAAGCAGTGCTCCAAGTCCCCCTGCAAAGCCAGTCTAGGAGTGAAAGCATGGTTGCTCCTCTGGTCCCAGAGCTGCTGGCACCGCTGACAATACTGACCGGCAGTGGTCCCCAAAAGCTCCTGCCAAAACCTCTGCTGTCTCTGGAACTGGAATTCGCTCTCCCAATCACCCCAAAATGGGTTCTGCTCAGCTTGACTTCTTTGCATTGCTGGCTTCTAATTCAGAGTCTGGAGTGGGTGGTCTGATTAATAGGACCTAGCTCATGTGCCAATAATTGAACTTCACAGGAGACAAGAATGGGAGTGTTTGTGTTTATTTATTTGCTGGATGTAGGCTCTGGCAGTTGAAATGTTGGGTGGCCATAAAGAATAACAGATACCATTACAGTGCCATGAAACACAGGAATAAATATTTTAGTCCTTCTGCATTGGGAGAAAGTCTTAGGTCACTAGATACTGAGTTTCTCTGTAGTTCCTTTATAGCAGACTATTTTAAATTCTTCTTTGAATCCTCGGCACTTTGTGGGATGCTCTCAGGAAATGTTTGTAGAATAAATTAATGTATTGAGTATATTCTTTCAACAAATATGTATTGGGCATACATTATATACCAAATACTGTTGAAAATTGTTTGCAGGGTAAAAATGCCTTACACAATAGTAAAGAAAAAAGCTATCAGGAACAAGGAGTGGGCTACCCATCAAAATATGAGAATTCGAATCTAGAGTGAAGAAATACTGCTTAGACATGAAGCAGGGTGAGTCTGAATCAGCTTCCGAAGTTGAGGTTGGGGATATGGTGGATCAGAGATAGAAAGAGCTGGAAAACTTACCAGGGCAAATTGCAGAGATGGCAGGGGTGGGAGGCAGGCAGAGTGGACAGTCGCCTACTGGGAGTGGAGTGGGAAAGCTGCATCTCAAGCTCTTCTCACTCTCCTCTGACTCATGCGTGTCTAGACAATTTGTTCATTTTTAGAGGAGTTGTAGCACGTGCTTTTCTCTTTCTCTAAGTGACTATCGTATGCTCCGATTGTAATGAGCAGTTAAATGTGTTACATTTGCAGAGCTCTTAGAACAGTGTCTGGCATGTTTTAAGTACTCTATAACCATTTATTAAATATATAAATATAAAGCAATGTTCTGTTTCTGATACTTAAGCCACAATATAGGTTAGGGATCCCACTTGGACTTACATTAAGCCAAATGCCAGGTGTATTTTTTTTTTTTTCCTTTTCGACTGTCAGCCTTCTTCATACAGCATCTGCTTTACATTCACCAGGTGCTTTCCATGTTCTAGGCACTGTCTACATCATTGCAGCTCAGCCCCTCTTCTGCACGTTCACATTGGCAGCTCATGAGTGGTGCTCCCTAGGCAACGTGGCCAGACTTCCAGGCCCACTGGATTACCTAGGCATTGACCCAGTAATTCTTATCTTGGTAACAGCTGAAGTAAAAAAAAAAAAAAAAAGAAAAAATGTAATACAGCCTTTTCAGTCTTTTTCAGTGGGAGAATTGGTCCAATTCACTTCCTGTGATTACTAGAGATAGAAATTCTAGTTTAGGTGCTTTATGTGGTGGTTTAAGTCATATAATCCTCACAAGAACCTCAAAAAGAAACTGGTGAGATTTTTCTCCATTCTACAGATGAGGAAAATGAGGCAAGAGAGTTCAAGTTTCTTATCCACGATCAAAGAGCTGATAAGTAATGGCCCCAGAATTTGAACACAGGTCATCTGATGTCAGAGCTTAATTCCTAAGTCCACCCATTTTATTCTTAAAGCATTATAGCTGCTTCATCGTCAGGAGCATTCTTTTAAAAGGTCAAACAAGTCTCTACCTTTACATGTTTCCCTTATAATTTGGAACATATTTTGGCAAAAGGCTTAGCCAGATACAGACTTTAATGCCAATTAATACACTACTACCTTCTGTATCTCTTTAAATGGCCATATAACATGGACAAATATATTGTCAATTAATTAGTTCCCTATTTTTGTAGATTTCAGTGTTTTTTTTTTTTATAGCTTCAAAAACATTTCAGTCTTGCAGAGAGAAAAATTCCATTGTATTGCCAAAATTGTCTATGTTGTTTTATTGAACTTGGTCAAGGCATGCAGAGATGAAATACACATGTCCAAAATTGAACCATTTGGATGTCCAGTATGGAAATAAAATTTTTAAAATCTAGAGTGTCAGATCTGGGCTATAACTGGTAAGTGACATCAGCGAATAGGACTTAAAAAACTCCATTTGTGTGCAAAACCTCTTATAAGCCCAAAAAAAAAAAAAATCCTTGGAATTGTGCCCAAATCAGGGACTTTTATGCATCTCAAATGGCTGAAAACCCATGGGGACAATCAAGGGCCTTCCAAAGTGCTAAGGGGATCCAAGTGTACTCCACGGCATTCCATCTGAGGAATCCAGCACCTACAGGTCATAAGCAGCCACAGCGCCTCCACTGCTTCTGTTCCATTTTCAGCAAATGTCTCCATCAGATTCAAACTGATTTGTTGTTTATTTTTTCTTAAAAAACTTTCTGCCCTTGGTAAAACTAAAGGCCTAACATATTTTCCAATTTCTCATGACAGCGAAAAAGACAAGCATATGAATCTAACCTCATCCATGATGGCCTGCAGCTAGAAGCAACAAGATCAGTAAGTGTCTGTCCCTTTCCAACTCTTGGCTCGCCATTGCTCTTGGGAACCTGCGTGTCACGTGGAATGCCAGAATGGCATTTGAAACATGCGACTCCAGTCACGCCTTAGTTGTAGGCTGGGAGGGGACTCAATCAAAATCTGCGTTATAGAATGTATCTGTTTCTGATCAAAGCCAGCAGATCTTTTTCAACAGCCAGAGAATGTAGTAATAAATACATGTGTAAATGATTTTCTTCTTTTAAGATTTTTTAAAGATTTTTTTATTAATTACCTATAATAACTTTGTAGTCTTTCTTAACTTTTTTTTGCTCAAATATATACATTTTTCTGTTCCAGAAAAGGGGATTATTAATTTCAGTGTTTTAATTTTTTTCTTTTAATATATAGTATATACATTTCTATAGCAATAAATGTAATTTTTTGACATCCTTTATAATGACCATATAACATGATATTGGACAGATATATAATAAACAGTTCTCTTTTAGGTTTAAGATATTTAAAAATTGTTATTACAATAACATCACAATGATTATTCCATTATTTTAATTTTTCCTTATTTGGATGGAATGATGGGCAAATAACAAGTTTGTTTTTCTTCATTTAAAATGTTAGTAATTTTATGAAAGAACTGTGAATTACTTTCTCAGTAATTCAAACCAAGAAATTATCTTTAAGGCAAAAATTTATGGTCATTTGCAAATCTATTGTATCTTCACTTTTACCAGTATGTGTGTGTGTGTGTGCGTGTGAGCGTGCGTGCACACGTGTGTTTGAACTACCAGCAACATAAGAAAAATTATGAATTTTAAAATAGTGAAAATAGTCGGTTTGGTTTCCTGGATCGTGTTTTTATTCTTTCAATATAGATTTTGGACGACAAACTTGTATTTGTAAAAGTACATGCCCCTTGGGAGGTATTATGTACATATGCTGAGATAATGCACATCAAATTGCCTCTAAAACCCAATGATCTGAAAACCCGGTCCTCAGCCTTCAGTAATTTCAACTGGTTTACCAAAGTCCTCCAAGTTGATGAAAGTATCATCAAGCCAGAGCAAGAGTTTTTCACTGCCCCATTTGAGAAGAACCGGATGAGTGATTTTTATATTCGTGATAGAGAAACCTTCTTCAATCCAGCCACGAGAAGCCGCATTGTGAGTCTAAACCAAATTTACTTTCTTACTGGTTTGGTTTGGTTGGTTTAGTTTGGTTTTTAAAAGCTGCCGCAGACACAAAAAAGAAATATGCCTACATGTTCCTGTTCTGATAGTAAACAGTGATTGGTTAGTTAGCACTGAATAAACCACACACTATTTTGGAATCTTTTTAGGTTTACTTTATCCTCTCTCGGATCAAGTATCAAGTAAGGGACAACGTTAAAAAGTTTGGGATTAACAAACTTGTGAGCTCCGGGATCTACAAGGCAGCTTTTCCTCTCCATGATGTAAGTTAAACAGTAAAAACAAAATAAAATACCCTAACGTATGTACTCTGGTGTTAATAGGGAAAAGTAATCTTCTTAATCTAACTTAAGTTTCTTCCTCAGTGAAATGAAAATAATATATCGAAAGATTACAGGCTCATCCAGGGCAGGGACCAGGTTGTATTGTTCACTGCTGAATCCAAGGCATAGAGAAGGCCCAGGGTTTAAATGAGTGAATGAAGAAATGAACAGATGAATGAACAGGAGCCCTCCCATAGTTACTATGTAAAGTAATGTCGATTAGTAGTTAAGAGCATGGACTCTGGAGCTGAAATGCCTGCTCCACCACTTTCTAGCTGGATGACCTTGTGAAAGTCATTTAGCCTCTCTATTCCTCAATTTCATCATCAATAAAATGGGGATAATGAGAGTACCTACCTTATAAAATTGCTGTGAGGATTAATGAATCCATATCAAATGTTAGAACAGCCCCTAGCATGTAGTAAGTACTATGTATAGGTTAGATATTTTCATAATTACTGACAGATGTCATTATCAACCAGAAAAGTATTAGTTCTTTGTAAGAAAAATACATGTTAGACCTTCTCATTTATCATTTTCTGTAATACAAGGTTTTTTTTAACCCCCTGAAACACCATTTCAGACTGTGCCTTAGAATATCACAGGGCTTTTAAAAAGGCATTTGTCAAGGTTCTTGTCATAGTGGCAATACGGCGGCAGAGTGTTGACATTGTTAAAGACTATGTTCTGAGATGACAGCAACTCCTCAAATTCAAGAGCACTTCTCTAGTCGATAACATTTCTCATGAAATGAAATTTTTAAAATGTGAGTTCTTCAGACCCATGGTGATTCCATAAATGCAGGGATATTATGTCTAAGCGCTTTACATAAATTCTGTCAGTGAAATAAATTAAATATTATATTATATCACTTGATACTTTGTTACATTTACTATCAATTTACCTGAATCTGTAAGACCAAAGATAGCAAACACTGAAATTGATAATTACTACTGTGTATACATGCATTTGTGGATGAAGACAATATTGAAATGTAGTGTATAAGGTAATAAAACTAGGACATTTAACAGCTACTTAATATACATGCGTAAGTAGAGACCAGAGAGAAGGGTAGAGAAACAGATGCTAAGCTTCCTGGCTAAGAGACCCAACGCAGTTCAGCCTGAAAGTCTATGTGTTTTATATTTGTGCCCCAGCCAAATAAGCAATTATAGCATGACATGAACTTAGGGAACACTTGCAGAGGGCCCTCATGAATATTCATCTGGGATGCCAAGGTTCTGTAGTATTCAGGTGGCATCTGTCCATGCCCAGGTCTTCTCCACTAAAGCCTCAGGTAATTGCAGAGTGCCATATCCAGGCTAAGGAATGAGATCTCATGTGGTATTTGGAAAGGAGGTAAGTGGAGGTCAAGACCCATGTTACGGCTTAGCTGGGAAATAGTCCGGTTCTAATACTGGAGGAAGGAACTGAGTCAGGCGGGAAGAAGAGTGACCAAAATTAAACAGAGATGGGAAGTTTTATTTTTTGAAGAAGCTAAGCATATAACATGTAAAATTCTTCTACATGTTGTCACTGAATTACTGTTGAATTGGGGGGAAAAGAAGCCTGGGTTTTAGAACTGACCCTGCTGCTTACCAGTTAAGGCTCTTCTTTCCCCCAGTGTCCAAGAAGCGGGCTGGACTATCAGGTGTCTCTCCATTGTGGCAGTTTTGGCACTTGAGTGGCCCGGTTTTCATTGTTTAGAGATGGCCCACTTATAAGACATTAAGCATCCCCCGGGCTCCCATCGAGTATCTATGATGTTCCCCAGGATTGTAACAACCATGAATTCCTTCCCACCCACATCTGCAAGTGGCCTTCATAGGAGGCGGCCATTAGTAATACCCTGGTTGAGAATCACTAAAAATATGTAGTATTTCCATCCGCTTCAGCAAATGAGGGCCCTTTGTTCACAAATGACTGTGAAGCGTATTAGAACCACATTTAATAAACAGATTTGTGAACATGTGGTGATTGTGATGCTCACTTGTTTGCTTCTGCTTCCCAGTGCAACTTCAGCCATCCGTCAAAGGATTTCAGCTGCCCAAATGAACGGTACCTTCTGTACAGGGAATGGGGTCATCCTCGAAGCATATACAAAAAGCAGCCCTTGGATCTTATCAGGTGAGGTGTTGTAGAGACCACTCCAGTAGGAAGGACTCAGCGTTGTCCTCATGCCATCTAAGTGTGACAGTATCGCCAACCAGGCAAGCTCACCTGGACCTGTGAGCCTCATTGTCCAGAGCTTTTATTGGGGGGCTTCATTACGTAGACACGACTAATTGAGTCATTGCTCACATGGCTCAGTCTCCAACGCTTTCCTCTCCCCAGAGTTCAGGCCAATATATGTGGCTCAAAGCCCCAACCCTCTAAACACATGGTTGGTCTTTCTGGCGTGTCCAGCCCCATCCTGAGTCATCTCATTAGCATAAACTCTCTAGGGTGCCCTTTAGGAAAGGAAGTAAGTATAGCAGGTGACTTGATTTAGCTATTAATAATCTTTAAAGAGTCATAATAATGTAAAGCACGGAGATTAATCTAACCGAAATTATAATGTAACTGTCAAAAAGATAGAGGAATGGAAGTGTGGATGTGTAGATGAGAGTGGGGGGCCGGGGGGAGGTGTTAAAAGAGAGCTTAATCCTCACCTTCCAAAGTAGAAAGTCAATAGGTCATAAATAAAACTGAAAAATCAATAAGCAACAGGACACATATATTAGTTAGAGATATGGAGATAAATATTTCAAGAATCAGCTATAGGAGTTGAGAGTTGTTGCTGCTAGGCAACAGGAGATGGGGAGGAGGTTGCTTTTTATAATCAGTCTTCTAGAACTATTTAACTCTTTAATGAATGTATAGTCACAACTTTGATTTTAAAAAATTAAAGCTAAATTTTTAAAAATTGGTGTTAGGGCTTGGGATGTTTTTGGCAAAGAGATGATTAGACTCACATTTGAAGGGATTCTCATTATTCCAGCCTTTCAGCAAGAACTAGGAGGCAAGCTCTTTTTAAGATTCAGAAATTCTGACATCCTTGCCTACAGTGTAATGTGGATACCTTGGGAAGTAATAAACTCCCTGCCACTATAGATATCCAAGCAGAGACTACATGACCGGCTCACTAAATGTATCAGGATATTTTTACTATTGACGGGTTAGACCAGGAAACTTTTAACATTCTCTCCAATTTTAAATGTGGCATTTCTAGGGTAGATGGTTGATAAGAACACATTACAGAAAGGCTAACAGCAAAGAGTCCAAGATATCTCAAACCCCATTGCCAGGCTTTCTCTCCCAGGCTCTATCCTAAGCCTGCCATACATGTGCAGATAACAAAGCCCTAGTTGCATGAAAATGGACACACTTTGTTCTCCTGATTGCACATTGGTATCATCTCTTCCTTTTTCCCAAGGATGTGGCTGGCCTACACCAGACCTATGACCAGGGAGCTGGTCTCACAGCTGCCATGTGAGTGCTGGTCCAGCCTAGGGATGTTCCTTTTTGAAATCTCCCAGATCTCCAGATTCTTCTCAGCACTAAGTCCCCACTGGCCTGAGTCCAAGAAATCCATTCCAGCTCCATGCTGAGCTGGAAGTATCACATAGGCCTCAAAGTAAATCTACATGTTGTACTAGCCAATACAGAAGTGAGTCAGAAGTGAGTCAGTCTAGAAAAGTATCAGCAACAGCAACAATCACCTAAACAATCATTTCATATTTTCTCCTTATCCCTCAAACCTGTTTTTCTGTCTAACTGTATTATGTGTCTCCCTTTCAGAAACAATCTGGCATTGCTTCATGCCTTGTCTCCCTTCCTTCAGACTCGCGTACCTCACCTCTTCCATTTTACCCCAGAGCATACCACTGATCAGTTTTTAAACCGTAGGAAAAACTGAAGTGCTCGATAGAAGGAATGTAGGGCATTGGATTCCTCAGTCGTATCCATCCTGCCTTCTTCCACCCTCACAATGAGTTTTATAAATATTTTTGTCGGAGGGACGTTTCACTACTAATTACTATTATTATCAGTCATTTTCTTGTTATTATTTGTGATTTATATTATATTTGTTCTAAGGTAGTTCCCTAGATAAACAGAAGTAGGTAACTGTGATGTTCATGTTCATTTCATGCATATTAAAAATAATCTTTTGGAGAATGTGTCCAATGTGCTAGTCTTTACAAAAAATGATGGTGATACTCTCTATATTCAGCATTTTTTTCTTCCTTTGCTCTGTTCTAATTTACTTTGCTTCAACAGGCTAACCAGTGGTCAGTACTTCTATGATATGTAAAATAGTTTTTGTTTTATAGTGGAATTTGGGGTCTGTTACAAAAATGAGTATGTTTTAAGTGTAAATTCGGTCAGAAGTTTAAGCATAAAGCTTCCTTTATTTAAAATCAAATTAATATTAGGATGAAGCTGCAGAGTGATTGTGTGTTCTAAACATTTCTGTCTTTTTTCAGGAAATATTATGGCGAGAAGATTGGAATCTATTTTGCTTGGCTGGGCTATTACACTCAGATGCTCCTCCTGGCAGCAGTTGTAGGAGTGGCTTGCTTTATCTACGGATATGTTAATCAAAATAACTGTACATGGAGGTAACCTCTGTTTATTCCATGTTACCCTTCTGAAAAGTTGATGAGACATAAAATTATTTTCAGGTCTTAGACTGTTTTAGTAAAAGAAGACTCAGTGGAGAACACTTACTGCTTTGGATGATATCCCCCCTTTTTGTTCTGAGCATAATAACTAAGTGGAGTGGAAAATGTTTTCCTTAGATAATACAGCCCAGTCTCTGGTATGAATATTACCACTAGGAAACACTTCAATTATTTTAAGACAATACTTTGTTTGAAAAATAAAGAAGGTCTGGAGGGAAGATTGGTCTTGAACTTCTGGCCCCAGCCCTACAGCCGTGGGCCAAGAACAGCTCTGATTTCCTCAAGGTTTCAAGGGCAAAACTGGTAAAATTGATGTTTTTATGCTTTTAGAAAAGACTTTTTAATGAATATTAAATACATGTTTAAAAACTCAGATAAACAAAACTTTTGTTTTACTTTTTTAAAAATTAGCCCTTAAAAATTTAGAGGAAACAATAAGTCATAAAGAATTAGATGTCAGAATGCAAATAACCAGCTGCACTGTCTAAAGAGAAATACATGGGTGCCAGAACATCGAATTTCAGCAACACTCTTCTGAATTGTTATTGTTCCTCTGCTTTTGGTGGTTTCTACTTCCAGAAGGGATGAAACACAACCAAGTGTTTTCCCTTGATCATCAGGCTTCTGATGTGATATCCAGATGTGATAACCAGATCAAGATTTCTGGGCACCACCCATGAGCAGACCAAATTTTTCTAGCCCCGAGCATATCAGGCTGGCCCCCAAGGCAGGAAGCTTACGTGGCAGCCCTGATGTATGGGCATAATTATCCATTCTATTTACTGGAGGATTCTGAGTGGTTTGTACCCATTATGGCTTCTTAGCTAGAAAGCTGCAGATGGTCTTTGAAGTACTCGCTTCTCTTCACCGAAAAAGTTCAGGGCCAACGGCTAAACGTTGATAACTGTTGCCTAAATTTGTCTTTGGCTTCTCACTGTTTTGTATATTGTTCCTGCCAAAAAAAAAAAAAAAATCATCTCAAAAATACACTTTCAAAGTACAAAAGTTACATTTTTACTAAGTTCTTGAATGGTGGTGATTCTCATTATAATTCATTTTATAAAATCACCGTGACCATCACACCACGTAGTTTCTACCGTTTCACAGTGATTAATTTGTAGAAAACTGGTGGGTGGCGGGGGAGGGGGAAGGAGGTTGGAAATCTATTCCTCATGCTCAAAACTTTTTTGGCTTTAATTATTTAATTTAAAATGTGTGCATTTTAAATATTTTCAGTTAGTTTTATTACATGTTATGTAGGTTCACAACATAAAGAATATATTTAAGGTGTAAGGTATAATGATCCATCATCCAATTTAAGAAAAATAACATTACTGTTACCTCTGAAGTGGTTTGCTCGATTGCATTTCCTCATTTTCCAGTTTGGAAATAACAACTATAATAAATTTTGATTTTTATCCTTTCTTTACATGTATTCTTTATTCTTTATCACATATATTTGTATCCTTACAAAACCTATTTTATTTTGTGTGCTTTTGAAAATATGTGTGCATAAATGGAGGGTACTATAGATATCTCCTCGTCTAGAAAGTGCCTGTTTAAAGCCCATGTTTCCCCTTTAAAAATAACAGCTGTATAGATTTAATTTACATACCATAAAACCCCTTGAAAGTGTGCAATTACACAACTCCAGTCCCATTCACATAAGAGTTCCTCTGAATGGCTTCTCCTAGAGGCAGCCGTCTGCATTAACTTGTAGGAGTTCTTTAACTACTCTGGTGAATAGTCCTTTGTCATTTTTATGTGTTGCAAAACTTCTACCAGTTTGTGGCTCGTTCTTTTTTTCCTCCCTTCATGGTATATTTTAGCAAAGTTCTCACTTTTGAATTTATCAATTATTTTGTCTTTACAATTTATGCCTTTTGGTTTCTCATTAGTGGACTTT